TTTTTTTTTTTTTTTATTCGCAAGTATTAAACAATTAGGTAGAAGAAGAAGAAAAGGGTAGGGGAGGTGGGGAGTGGAGTGGAGTGGAGTGGAGTGGAGTGGAGTAAATATTTTATTTTATTTTTTTTTTATTTATTTATTTTTGCAACAAATTCTACAATATTGTTACAATTTAATTATGTTGTAATTTCTATATATATATATATTATTCTTCTTCTTTACATTTTACAAAAAAAAAAGAAAGAAATTGGTTTTCTTCTAAGCACCCCTATTATGTTTATGTAATTTCCCAACCCCATTCTTTTTTCTCTTCTCTTCAACCTGTATAAATTGTACATTTTTTAGGGTAAACCCAAAAAAATTGATGAAAATTATCCCATGAAAGCATATAGTTCCCTTTTTGCTCTCATAAATGCAATCATCATTCTAACCCATCATTAAACAACACTGTGCCTAGGATGTGAGCGTAGCAAGCCACCATTTTTTAAAAAAAAAAATGTCAACACCAATACTAACATTATTCTTAAATAACTGAGCCTGAGCCTGAGCATGAGCCTGATCACTTTGATCACTTTGATGGCTTTTAGCTTTCTTTTTTGTATATATATATTTTGAATAGCAGTAATACCTAATTGCGAATAGTAGTAATATTCAATTGCGAATAGCAGTTACAAATAGCGGTTACTGATAGCAGTAATATTTAATTACAAATAGCAGTAACACTTAATTGCAAATTATAGTAGCACAGGTATAACCTGTAACTTACAATTAATACTGATAACATTAAAATAGGAAATAAAAAGTATGGTTACTTAAAGAAAGCTAATCTTTATTAGGAATGATAAGAGAGATCACACACAGGTCATCAAAGAAGGAAAAAATTAGGTAACCCAGTCCATTTTTACTTTTACTTTTACTTTTACTTTAACTTTTACTTTTACTTTAACTTTAACTTTAACTTTAACTTATACATTATCATAATCAATGTACCATCCATACCCTCTCTCTCTCTCTCTCTCTCTCTCTCTCTCTCTCTCTCTATCTATCTATCTATCTATCTATCTATCTATCTATCTATCTATCTATCTATCTATCTATCTATCTATCTATCTATCTATCTATCTATCTATCTATCTATCTATCTATCTATCTATCTATCTATCTATCTATCTATCTATCTATCTATCTATCTATCTATCTATCAGTAATTTGTCAATTCTTTATGTTTTACCATAAAGTTCCCTATAATCTAAATTTTATATTATTAAATTTGAAAATAAAAATATAAAAATATAAAAATATAAAAATAAAAATAAAAGTAAAATGGACCACCTATTTAAAAAAAAAAAAAAAAAAAAAAAAAAAAAAAAAAAAAAAAAAAAAAAGTGTTTTATCTCCCTTTCATAAAAATGATTAAAATACAGGATGTTGATGATTTATTTATTAATAATGGACATACACATACAAAATACTTACCAAATTTTTGTTTTTTTTGCCCAGTGGATGCCCAGTGGATGCCCAGTGGATGCCCAGTCTTTTAAATTTCATATGTATATAATTATTATAATAAGTACGCAAAAAAAAAAAAAAAAAAAAATCAAGTGATGATGAAACATTTCTTTTTTTTTTTTTTTTTGCAAACATTTAAATCACTTTAATATTAACTTAACTAAATAGTTAATTTTTTTTTTTAAGTTTTAAATTGTATATATATTTAAGCCACAGAATTAGAACTAAGCGACAATGTTAATTATTATTATTATTATTATTATTATTATTATTATTATTATTATTATTATTATTATTATTATTATTATTATTATTATTATTATTATTATTATTATTATTATTATTATTATTATTATTATTATTATTATTATTATTATTATTATTATTATTATTATTATTATTATTATTATTATTATTATTATTATTATTATTATTATTTATTTATTTAATTTTTTTTTTTTTTCGTTCTAAATAATTTAATTATTAAAGTATTGAGAGAATGAGTGAGAGTGAGTGAGAAAGAGAGAGAGAGAGAGAGAGAGAGAGGGGGGATGTTGATAAATTTGATCGGAATATGAAAAAAATTAAAAAAAAAAATTAAAAAAAAAATTAAAAAAAAAAGAAAAGAAAAATTTACTAACTAAAATTAATTAATTTTTATTATGCACTATTTTATCCTTTTAATTAATATTTTTTTTTTCATAGCAACTGATTCGCTTAACTTCCAATTGATTTTTACCTCAATGTTTTTAAAAAAAAAAAAAAAAAAATTATCTTTTACTTTTAACATTTGTTAATTCTAGAAATATAAAATATTTATATATAAATATATATATATTATGGTTACTTATTTATTAAAGTGACAAAATAAAGTGTGTGTGGTATGGTCATCAACTATTATTTTGATAAAGCAATCCGCCTGAATAATTAAAAAAAAAAAATAAATAAATAAAAAAAATAATAAATAAATAAATCCGTGTATGAGTCTCAATCGTATATATCATCACTCCCCCGGTACTCAGGTACCTTAGCAAGACCTTTTTTTTTTTTTTCTTTTGTCACCAGGTAATAATTATTCTACTGTAGCTCATGCCAAGTAGCAATGAAAGCCAATCTATACTAAAAAAAAAAAAGGAAAGGAATTATATATATATATATTAAGTTAATAATAATTCATTCATTCTTTCATTCACCTCCTCTCTTTTCGTGTCCTCTCGTCTTTTTTTTGCTATGCTCTTTATCCAGTTAATATAACATCGTGAAGTAATGGCCTAATGATAAGACTCTGGCCTACTTTTGATAGGATAACAATAATGAATGATGGGTAATACAAGACTTTTTTTTTTTTTTTTTTACTCACTCATTCATTCACTCACTCATTCACTCACTCATTCTCTCACTCACTTCTTCATTCACTTCCTCAGTCTAAAACCATGATTTACGTTTCTATTAAAAGATTAGCTATACCCTTTATTTAATATATTTAATGATTCCAATATACTCATTCCCTAGTATCTAAATCTACTAACAATGATAATGGGTTAAAATCAAGTGTTATATTCTCACAATAGTCTGTATAAAATCTTAGATGAAATGATCTAAACTATGTTTAGTTTAAATTAATTATAATTACCTTCAATAGTATTGGTTTTTATTTTCATTTTTTTTTTGTTGAAATTTAATCCATTAAAAATGAATTTTTTTTTTTTTGGTTAGTTAATTAGTTGGTTGTTTGGTTGGTTTGAAATGGGTACACATTTTTCAGTATTTTAAATTTTATTTAAAAATGCAGTGTTTATGAATTAATGAATTATTACAAGTATTAAAATATATGATAAAACTTTACTATGTATATAATATATATCAAATAGTAAAATAAATTTAAAATATATATATATATATTTGGTTATTATTAGTTTTAATATCAACTTATATTTTATTCACTATGGTTTTCATTTTTCATCTAATTATCAAAATGGATTAATATAAGTAGTACTACTGTGAATACAGATTTCAAAAATCATAAACAATTAATAATTTTAACTATTTTTTTAAAGTAATTAAACTAACTCAAGGGATCAAATCAATTACCTATTTAAGTTGATATATATACCATCATCCATGGTAACGTATTATACTTTTTTTTTTTCTTCCATGCATTTGAAGTTTGCATAATTAATTATCTACGTAAAGGATCTTTCTTTTATTATCATCTACGTAAAGGATCTTGTTTTGTTAGATTTTCTTATTATCATCTACGTAAAGGATCTTGTTTTGTTAGATTTTCTTATTATCATCTACGTAAAGGATCTTGTTTTATTAGATTTTCTTATTATCATCTACGTAACGGATCTTATTTTTTTTATTAGATTTTTCTTAAAAGAATATTATAAAACCTTCATATAGATAATAATTAAATAACATGGATTTTATATTTTTTTTTAGACTTTGATTTTGACTTTAAATCAAATCAAACCAAAAAAAAAAAAAAAAAAAAAAGGTCTTGACCCAAAGGCAATTCCACAACAGGTCCTGATCACGAGCTTGATTAAACCCTTGGTATAAAATAAATCAATCATCTATATACAATAATAATAATAATTCTATTGTTACAAATGGGGACATTATCAAACATATATATAATCATTGATTTTAACTTTGAAAAAAAAAATTAAATAAAAAATTAAATAAAAATTAAATAAAAATTAAATAAAAAGTTAATTAATTATATTTTAATTATATTAAAAAAATGTTTAACTACAGTTATTTTGAAATTCAATATATATATATATATATAGGTTTTTATCGAAAACAAATTTTACAAACACACACACACACTCCGTAAAACCGAGGAAATTTCCTCGTTTAAACAAAAAAAAAAAAAAAAAAAAAAAAAAAAAGTTAAAAAAAATTTGATGATATCATTTAGTTTATCTTTATAGAAAATGGATAAAAAAAGAAAAAACCGTTTAGAAAATTGGCTTGCATGAATGATTAGTAGAAAGAAGAAAAAAATAAAGTTCACGCGACCACTTTCCTGATTTAATTTCAATTTCAATTTCAATTTCAATTTTTGTTTATTTTTTTTTTCCCCCTCCTCCAAATTAATGTAAATAAAAAAACAAAAATATCAATATAAACCAATTAGTTTTCAAAATAGATTGAAGAAGAACAAAAAAAAAAAAGACGAATAAAAAGTTATTTCAAATGTATTCAATTATAAATATATACTAAACGATTGTAAATCAAATTAAACAAAAAAAAAAAATATGAGGTCATTAGATAATATAAAAAAAAAAAAATAAAAAAACAGCAGATAAAAAAAAAAAAAAAAAACTCCCAAAATATAAACTTTAAACTTTAAGCACAGCTTTAAATTTGATCTGAAGGTTAAACCAATAAAAAGGAAATTTCCTTTCATGGAACGAATGATGAACGATAAAAAAAAAAGATAAAAGATAAAAGATAAAATAAAAATAAGCTCCCTCCTTTTATCCCTTGTAAAATTGTAGCGAATGGAATTGCTCGTCAGTGAAAACAAATGATGTGAAAGACAAAGGTTCTTGGGCTAATTCTTGAGCAAATGACTGAGAAGCAAGTGGAGATGTAGCCTCTGTTTCTGTGGTAGCAGCAGTAGCAGTGGAAATTTTCATATAAGGATGGTTGTTGTGTGATAAAGGTAACTCATCACCACCACTACCTCTACCACTACTACCTCCACCAATATTACCAATATTACCAATACCATTGTTAAATATAGGACTAGTGGAATAACTGCCCAGACCAGTGTGAACCGGAGGTACACTAGAATAAGAGGGTAAACCAGTGAGAGGATTTGTAGCAAAGGAAGAAGTATAAGAAAATGGTGAGCCAGAGGAAGGTGACACCAAATCATTTGTGTTAATACCATTAAAATGCCTTGACAAGGAATGGCCTGGAATGCATATGGGAGAAGATTGGGAGTGTGGAGATAACAAGTTCAAAGAGTCAGCATCATCTTCAGTGGCAGGGTTTTGATAAGAGAAATAGGGGCTATGGAAGTGTGTGGTTGAAGATGAATCGAGGAAAGTTGTTTCGATGTGGAGGGCAGGGACTTGGGTAAATTGTGAAGAGGCTGAGTTTGTAGTGGTTGTAGTGGCGGTGGGCTGTGCAGATTCTCTTAGTGAGAGAGAAGAAGAATAAGAAGAAGAAACAAAAATGGGCTGAACGTTTCTAGAAGTTGCACCGAGTGTGGACATATCATTGGTAAGAATTTGGGCCACAAAAGTAGGTACATCATATGGACTATCTGGGTTTGATTCGTAAAGAGGTTGATTGAATGATGATTCATTGATTGGATCGTTGGTAGAAAGAGTATCATTATTATTATTATTATTATTATTATTTTCATCATTGTTAATATCATCATTATCATTATCATTATTGGGATTAGGATTAGGATTAGGATTCTCAGAAGTAGCAGTATTATTATCATTAATATTATCATTGTTATTGTCATCATCATCATTATTGTTATTATTACTATTATTATTGTTGTTGTTATCATTATCATTTTGGTCATTGTCGTCATCATTGTTGTCACCAAATGGTTGATAATCACTGTTATTATCTGGGAAATTCTCCACTTGTTCTAACAATCTAAGGTCCTCGTCATCCCATTGAGGATTTTCAAAAGGTAAGGCCATAATTCTTGAAGTTGGTATAATGCTTGGTGAAATGGGAGAAAATATAGGTGATGTTGTTGATAATTCTGAAAAAGTATTTGAAGGAATTTGACTTAGATCCAAAAAGGAAGAAGAGGAGGGGGATTGTGGAGGAGAAAAAAAGGTGGATTGAATAGGAGTTGTTGCCAAATGTTGTTGTTGTTGGTGATTAAGATGGGGGGTTGATCTCTTTAGAATTGAAGGATCAAAACAAATAAGTGGAGATTGAATAACTTTTTGGGCTGATTCCCAAGTATTGGATTCATCATTTTTTGAAAAAGACCCGTCGACCAGCGTCGGTTTTTTAACTTTTTCATCTTCTTTATCTTCTTTAACTTCTTTAACTTCTTTATCTTTTTTATCTTCTAAATATTCTTCTTCTTCTTCTTCTTCTTCTTTTTTTTCTTTTTTTTCTTCTCCTTCTGTTTTAATCTGGGGTTGTTGTTTAGATTTATTAATGGAAAGAGAGTTGTTTGTAGAAGTAGTAGCTTTTAAAACTGTGCTTTGTTGTTGTGCTTTGGAAGATTTTTGTTTTTTGATTTTCCTTAGTCTTAGTGGGGTTTTTGGTAATTTCTTGCTACTATTTTTGCAATTTTTTTTGAAACTTTTCTTGATTTTCCGAATGCTAACTCCTGAATCAAGTAACCAGGTGGTGTATGTTGCTTGTGCAACTCGTACACCTGTGAGCCTGAAAAGCTCGTTTGAAATGGCAACGTTTGTTGGATTGCGGCGAGCAAATTCAGTGATAAGTGATCTGACTTGAGGAGTGTAGCTTCTTCTTGATGAGGTTCGTGAAGATGAAGATAAAGAGGAAGAGGAAGAGGAAGAGGAAGAGGAAGAGGAAGAGGAAGAGGAAGAGGAAGAGGAAGAGGAAGAGGAAGAGGAAGAGGAGGAGGAGGGATCAGACATTGTTGAAAGTTAAAGTCTGTAAATAGAGAGAATAATTGGTGTGAATGTTTAATTAATAAACAAGAAGGATAGTTAAAGTTAAGTTTTTTTTTTATTTTTTATTTTTTATTTTTTATTTTTTTATTTAATTTATGGTTGTTGTTTGTTAATGTTAATGTTAATGTTAATGTTAATGTTAATGTTAAGTTTATTTAATGATTGTGATATGCGGGGATGTCTCATCTGTATGAGAATTGATAATGAGAATGATGATGAATTGGTAAAAGATTCTTATTTATAAAAGAAATAAAATATATAAATATATATAAATATATATATAAAATAGAAAAAAAAAGAAGAAAAAATAGTGGAAATTGAAAGGTATTTATAATTTCAGATTTATATATATAGTTTTTTCTCTCGGAGGTTTACTGTGGCTGTTGCACTCAGCCTTTCCTTCAAAAAAAATAAAAAAAAATATAATAACCCCCCCCCCATCAATCACTGCACAGCCTTTAATGACTACCATCACAATTATCGCCAGTGTAAAATGAATCTTTTTTTTTTTTTTTTTTTTTATTTTCAAAATCTACAGACAGTGGCTCGGCTCCGACAGGAATACCGGGATTAGGTTACTATATAAAAAAGTAGAACAAAAAACAAAAAACAAAAAATATAAAAATATAAAAATATAAAAATATAAAAATTAAAATATAAAAATTAAAATATAAAAATATAAAAATTAAAAAAAAACTTAAAAATTAAAAATTAAAAAAATATAAAATATGAAATATAAAAAAAAACTTAATAAATAAATAATAATAAATAAATAAAAATTGATAATTGATAATTGATAAGAATTAATTTTTTTTTTTTCAATTAAATTTGAAGATATTGTATCTTTAATTTAGAGCGAAGGTTTATCTTATTTCTCCATCTCCTTCCTTGTTTTTTTTTTTTTTTTTGGAGGGAGAATATGGTCAATTGATCATTACTATTATTATCATCATCATCATCTGAATATAGAAATTGGATTTATCTGCAATGAAAACTCAATTATATCGAGAGAAAGAGAAAGAGAAAGAGAGAGAGAAAGAAAAAAATTCAAAATCAAAAAAAAGACTTTACCTTAAGGTAAATCTTTTTAGATTTTTAGATTCTAGCCCGCGGGTCTTCCGTTTTTTTTTTTTTAATTTTTTTTTTATATATATATATTGTTAATTTTGTATTTTTTTCTTAAAAAGATATTAATTGACCGACTGACTGACTGACTGACTGACTGACAGACTGTTTATAATCATTAATTAATGGATTGATTAATGAATTGACTGGTTAATTGACTGATTAACTGACTGGTCAACTGACTGATTAGCTGATTAACTGATTAACTGACTGATTAACTGATTAACTGACTGATTAACTGATTAACTAATGACGACATTTGTTTAAAATATACTTCAAAGGATTTTCTTAATATCTCTTGTGACCATTTTAATATAATAAAAAAATAAAAAATAAATAAATTTTAAAATACAAAATATAAAATACAAAATATAAAAAAAAATAAAACCCATGTAAAGGAATTAAAACTGTTGATTTACACGGGTGAGAAATATTTTGAAATTTGCTTGAAAATTTGACTAATATATTAGGTAAGAAATATCCTTGTATATATATATATATATATCTTTCTTTCTACTTTGTAACTGTAACATATGTAATATATTTTTGCTTATGTAAATAAAATAAACTTAGAGTAACTCCATCGTGATCAACTTTCTCCTCTTCAGAACAAATTTGTTTATTTTTTTTTATTTTTTTTTTAATATTTAAATATATTTAAATATATTTTATTTTGTTTTTAATAAAATATTGAACTCACTGTAAAGTAAAGTAAAAAAAAAAAAAAAAAAATTGTTTTGGATTATTTTCAATTAAATAAATTGTAAATAAGATGACCGTTTTTTCGGAATAATAATTATAATTATAACAACAATGTCACATGCTTTCACAAGTAAAAAAAAAAAATAAAATAAAATAAACATTCGGTTAATTTGACTTAATTTGATTAAAATTAATTTTACTTAATTAAAGTTAAACCACAAAAAAATAAAATAAAATATTTTCTTTTTTCTTTTTTATTTTTTATTTTTTCTTCTTTTAAAAGACTTAAGCTTTAATTGATTTGTTGCAGAGCTTTGCAACAATGCAACAAGTCTCATTTCTTTTTTTTTTTTCAGCCGTACATTTTAAAAAAATACATACACACAACTACACACAAATACAAACTCCCTAACCCACATACTACAGATGTTGCGAGGCTTAGAAAATATTTATGTACACACATAGACATATAAAAAAAATAAAAAAATAAAATCTTCACTGTCCTATCAAAAATTTTCATTCATCCATTTGCTGCTTGCTAAACTTTTAACAAAACAAAAATTAAAAATTAAAAAAAAAAAAAAAAATTCAATAACCCCAAGAATGGCTGGCACAAACAACTCCGCCACATCTAGAAAACGCGCAAAACTGCGCAACGCAAGACAAATTTTAGTTCAACATCAAGATCCAGCAATCGATGGAGGGAAACTTAATGTTCCTGAGTTTCTGCGTGCTAGACGCTTTGAAATCTCTCAACTTCAATCTGCAATGTTAAAGTCTCGTTCTGCAGCTTCAAAACGTGCCTTTCAAGCTTTACCAAGAAGTTTACGAAGAAGAACAGCTTCTCATAATGTTAAGCGTATGCCTAAAAGACTTCGAGATAGAGCTCGTTATGAAATGTTGGCTTCAGATTCATCATCATCATCATCATCATCAAAAACAACTTCTAAACAAACTTTGGATAAAATTGGACTAGTCAAATCGAAAAAATTAAGAGGTTATTTGCGTGTTAAACAACGTGCTCTCACACAAAGCCTCAAAGCTCAAGCAAAATCCGCAGCAGTAGTACCAGTACCAACAGAAAAAGCAAAACAAACAGAACAAGCAGCAGCATCAGCAGCAGAATCAACAACAACACCAACACCAACACCTGTACTAGCAGCACCAACTTTAAAATTTAATAAACAAGCAACAAATGAATTGGCCGCTCCGCCTCCTGGTAAAACTAAATACGCCCACCGCCAGCGTACTAAAACTTGGCTTCCAACCCACGTGTGGCATGCCAAACGCGCCCATCTCACTTCTCTCTGGTCCTTTGCTATTCCTACCCATCCATCCCTTAAAGCCTACCGTGCCACCCACCGCGCAGCCTCACGCCCAGGTGTTGCAATTGCTTGGGATGCTTCCTACACGGCCTCGTTTATCCTCGAAGCCCCCGATGAAACTCTTTTGATTAAAACTCTAGCATGTGTTACTCTGGGGTCTTATGCTCATACAGACCAATTGGCAAATGGTGTTAGATCATGGCAAGGAATGGCTTATGAACCTTCAGGTGCAGCTCTGGCTCCTGTCCTTGTGGTTTGGGAACCTCAACAGCAACAGCAACAGCAACAGCAACAGCAACCAAATACCTCCTACAAAGCATTGCTCCGGTGCCACCCGGCAGCCTCTGTACGACTTGTTTCTTTGCTCGACCATCTTCGCTCTCTTACCAAATTCGAATACCATGACTTTCGCTATCTCCTGGGCTCTATTGATATCACAGGTCCTCGATCTCTTCCTGCCCTAAATGCAATCTTTAAACTCAAGCCAGGCGACCATAAGGCCGCTCTTTGGAATAACATTGGATGTTTTTCAAACTCAGCTGCCCTTCCATCAAATGTCGTCATTGCTCTAGAAGCAACTGACCCTCGTCTCTCATACCCTCCTCATTACTCTACTACTACTACTAATAATAATAATAATAATACTAATAATAATAATGATAATAATAGTTCTCACACAGACTTTGATCCAGTCCAGTTAATTGCCAATTGGCCAGATAAAACTCTCGTCGACCCAGCCACTCCATCCATCTTTGATTCTTCTGTAATCAATAACTCTTATATCAACCAGCCCTCTCAAAAATCAATTGATAAACGTAGAGCTGCTGCAACCTCCAACTCAACCCATCTCCCCTTTACAAACTCAGATCCAACTTTCCCCGTACTTCTCTTAAAAACAAGCCCAAACTCATGGACTGCCATTATCCCCTGGGGGTGGGTCATGCCAACTTGGTACTCCCTCCAACACCTTCCAGGGATTCGCCTTGGTGGACTGGACCAGCGTCACCAATTAGCATTTGAATCAGGCCAACTTTATTTCCCCACTGATTACGTGGGGTGCTCTGCAGCCCTTACCACTATTGAAAAGGAGGCTAGACAAATTCGTGAAACTTGGGCTCGTAAGCCTCTTAAAAAACGAATTTCATACCGCCGTGCTCTTATTTCGAAAAGTACAATAGACGGATCCACTCTCCGGGTACGTGGTGAAATCGGAAGCCCGTTTAGATGCGATTGGAAATATCTTTGGAAAATCCATGGTGGAGTCGGTGACCAGAAAGACCCTCAGGATATAGAAGTCGAGGGCTTAGAAGAAACTTGTGCACACCAATTTCTTGAAGAATCTAAAAAATATACCCCGAAACCAAACATTTCAAATATACAATCTTTTATTTCGGATTCCCTTCAAGCTGAAACTCAACAAGTTCCACATACTTATGCTACTTTTTCAAATTATGCCCAATCAATCAACACTACAGTTGATCCTCCAACTCCAACTCCAAACTCTCCAAAACCTTTGCTTGTCACTCCTGTCAAAATTCACTGTGTTACTCGTGGAACTCCTCAACCTAACGCTCGCATTTATCGTATCCCCCCAGACCAAACTAAACTTTGGCTTGCATCCTGTGCTTCCCCAGGAACTCCTTCTCCAACATGCCCAGACTCTTCTTACCTGATTGGTTTTGTGACATCTGGTGCATTCAACCTTCGCCATGCTTCAGGAACAGGCGTGGGTGCCGTTGCAACATACATTTACAATACTCAAGTCTCCAACAAAAATTCTATGTTATGTTTGGTACGCAACGTAGGCTCTTCAGTCACCAGACTTGCCAAAATCTCCCAAATCCCTCTTGTAAATGCTTATTAAATAGATCTTTTTTTTTTTTAATTTTTATTTCATTCATTAATATACAATACAACAACAATAATAATAATAATAATATAATTTCCATTTCCATTTCCTCTACCTAATGCCACGCAGGCGATTCACCACGACGACGACGTTTACCACGTCCAAAATTTTCTCCAGACATTGTTCCGTCCACAAACCCATCAAATGAGCTTGTAGCTGCTCCTCCCATACGTGCAGACTCACGCTTAAGTCGGCGAATATTGCGCTCACGTTCAATCTCACGCTTCTCAATCTCCTCTTGAGAAAGTGTCTCCACCGATGGAGCCCATTCTTCACCCAGCATCTCCTGTTCAACACGCCAGCCAGCCTCCAGTCCAAACGCAGCATAGTTCTCCACCTCTTGGGGTGGTAAATGACCGTCCAGAGCTTCCTTCTTCACCCGGTAAATACTTTCATAAACCGCATGAGCAATCGCAGGATAAAACTCACCACTCAACCCCAGGTCTTGTACTACAGTTTTGGCAAATTCCAAAGGAGTCAGTCCAGAATCCCTAACCCCACTCCTCTCTTCTGCTTTTAGACTCGATGAGTTGCTCAGATCCCATTCAAACTTATCCTCATACACTTGCTTATTGAGATTCACACTCAAACTAATAATCACATGGAACCCTGTTTCTTGGGGAAGCTTTACATTCGCAAACGTGGTATACTCATGAAGCTGTGTATGGATCGTGCTTGCAATCTGATTCACATAGTTGGTATGTGCCAGCGACTGTGCCAGCGTTGAAGGTATCGAGGACGTTTCCACCACCACGGGGCCTCCCAAGGCACCAATCCCGCCAGGCCCTCCTGCAATCGGCAGCTCTAAATCCTGACACAAGGAAATTGCAAACATCTCTGGTGTCAATACTTTTTCATTCAGGTTCCACAGAAAACAATCTGAGATTCGGAAGTTGTCATATTCCAGATTCAACCGAATCGGAACTAGTACCTCCTCATTTCCTGCAGCCTCCCGAAGCTGTACATCATTGTACCGTAGCATGTGCCGCAACTTGGCAACATGCACAGGATTCACAAACGCTTTAGTCTCTGGCTTGTCTCCCAGCGGTTGCGAATAATACGTCCCACTTCCTCCAGACCCTCCTCGTCCAGCTGGTGACCCAGGAGTCCCAGACCCCCCGTTAGTTCCGTTAAGCAACCCATTTACCAGTCGTGGAGTCCCTGGTACACTCCCACGACCAGAGTCCTCGTCCTCATCGTAGTCCTCGTCAATCTCTGCATACGAAATGGCTGCCGATGAGCGCTTGTTTGACCGTGTTACTGGAACTGTGGAAACGAAAAGACTCGTCTGGTCAAGCCGCAGCCGCGATGCAAACCCGGACCTTAGTGCCTGAGGAAGCTTGTGCAAAGCCTGCGGAGTTGCTGATTGATTTGTAGCTGTTGTTGTCATGGCGCGTGTGTTTGTATATATTGGTGGAGGGGTAAAAAAAAAAAAAAAGATTGTGTTGGTGGTTACGCGTAAAAAGAAAAAAAAAAATAAAAAAAATAATGCTGTGTTGGATGGGTTAGGGCATCACCAAATAGGGCCTTGATTTGTTTACAAACTATACAGCAACAACTAAAATATAAGCAACACCATGGACGAGCAAGCTGGCATTGCACGCCAGGCCCTCAACTCTATCTATAAAACTTCTTCCGCAAATTCTTTATACGATGTTCTCTTTAGTCTTGAAGAAACCGAGTTTATTAATGCCATGGACACGCCGCGTTGCGATAACAAACACAGACTGCGCCGCCTTCGCGTGCGTCGAGCCCGGCTCCGAGACTTTGCAAAATCGACCGTCGTTGTATACCCAGGTTCCGCACGAGCTCTAGCTGCTGCTTTTACCGATTATTCTACATCTATAGTATCTCGACGTTTGAGCCGCCTTGCACCGACCCAGCCTGAGCTTGTTAAGCTACTTGTTGAAGCTCTTGTGGAGAGGCACGCGTACCTTCCCAGCCAGTTGTGTGCGACCCATGTTCTAGCATCGGGATTCAAGCCTGACACTGATGGCGGTGTTGGAGCAACATACACAGCATATCATCTCAATACAACGGTGACTTATGTGGCCACAAATAAAACATGGCTGGCTTTACGTGAAGCCATCAGACCATCTACCATGTATTTTCTTCTAGCCCATTGCTCGGTGTTTTGTGCTACAGATAACCCCCAGACCTTGCTACAAGTTTCGGGACCATCTTTTGATACGGTGGTTACTAAAGAACAAGAACCTAAAGTTTTAAAGAAGAAGCAAGAGCATTTTGACAAGGAGCGCAACTTGGCGGCTGCAAATTCAGCCAGAATTATTTTTAAAAAGTCACGAATCATGCACAAAATGCCATACATGTCTAACAAAAAACCCATCTTTGGATTCAATCCTCATTGTATGTTGGAGTTTTACTTATCTTTCTTTCTTTCTTTCTTTCTTTCTTTCTAACATGCTTTAGTTATTTTGAAAAAATATTCGGATGACTCATTTGTTCACTTGCGAATCCTTTTACGTTTCATTTTCCCCGTCCAATACCACATCCCGTGCCCCCTCTCATCACCTTTAGACAATCCAATTACCCCAATAATTTTTGAATCTTTCCCTGAGTTGACAAAGGAAAGATTACCCAAACGTCTCCATGGTCAAATCCTACTTCTCATCAGGCAGCTAGTCAAAAATGTAAACAAGTGTCCATACTACCAACTCTTCAACCATTATTGTCCCAATACTTATGAAAAAGTTTCGGTTCAGGTGCTCAAAAAACTCAAATGCAATCGAATTTCAAATCTTACTCCTAAAGAAAAACAACAATATTGGGGCTTGATGAAATCCCACGACGTTTCAACACCAGATTATCAAGTCTTTTTGTTCTGCAAGTCAGTTTTCCGCAAAACTTTCCCAGTCGACCTCATTGGTAAATCCAATTGGGGGGTTCTTTTTAAAGCTCTGGACCAGTTTGTCAAGCTCCGTAGATTAGAACAAATGCAACTCCAAAGCATTGTCAGTGGAATGTCTACAAACGATTTGACTTGGACCTGGCCTGGTACTTCTCCTCAACCGCCACACGGTCGCCAAGATCATAATAAACGCAGAGAGTTACTTCTTGAGCTTATGTTTTGGATCTTTGACTGTTTTGTTCCGACCCTTATTCGCTCCCATTTTTATGCTACCGAGGTGTTGCAAAACGTTCCTGTAAATAGAGTTGTTTTTTTCCGTCATGATGTTTGGATCAAAGTTTCAAGTTTTGCCTTTGGTGATTTCTGTAAACAATCTTCCCTAGCTCGCCAAAATAATCCAGAGCTTTCGTTACTTGGAGCTGCACCTATCCGTATCATTCCTAAGGAAGAAGTGGGCCCATCTATGACTAAAATCTCAGGATACCGACCCATTGTGCGCATGGGTCGAATGCGTCAAACCTTGGCCTCAACTGGTGTGGTTCAAACACCAAGTATTAATACCCTTTTGAAGGATGTTTTTTCTGCTCTTTCCTTTGAGCATACTCAAAAAATTAATTCCCATGGGTTTTACAATGTTGGTACCACTGGCTCAATCCCTGACTTGTTTCGCCGAATTCTCCATTTTAAGCAACAGATTGGCATTGCACCCACACCCAAGTTATTTTTTGTCAAGGTTGACATCAAGCACTGTTTTGATACGATTCCACAAGCCCTTGCGCTGCAAATCTCTAAGCGATTATTAAGCAACGAATCGTTTAAAGAGTATTTCTTACACGCTTTCAAGGTCTTTAAGGTCCCACTACCAGCCCCATCTAAAAAAAAAAACAGACACAAACCAGCCGTTTTGGTCAAGTACATTCGCAACCCTGAATACAATACAAATACTGAAACAAGCATGGACGTTGTACAGGGAATCTCCAAAGACTTGGCAAATACCTTGCGTGAGTCGGCAGTACATGGGCCTGGCACTTTAGCCAGTAAAACAGCAAACATTGTGGTGGATCTTGTCTATGGTGTTCACAAAAGTGGAGAGGACCTGGCCAACTTGTTGCAAGCTCATTTGACTCAAAATTTGGTTTACTTGGAAGGCAAGCGCAAAAGGCAGCTTTATAAGCAACAAATTGGTATTCCTCAAGGATCCATTTTGTCAACACTTTTGTGTAATCTAGTTTATGAGGAACTTGAAGCTGAAATTTTGGCTGACATTTTTAAAGACTCGTCAACATCGTCGCCCTATCTGCTGGCCAGATTTACTGACGATTTTTTGTTTGTTTCGACTAACCAGGACCATGCAGAAGCCTTTTTGAATAAAATGATTACAGGTGTACCGAAATATGGAGCAGCAGTACGTCCAGAAAAAACAATCATTAACTTTGTGCCCTCGTTGCAGACCAATAAAACAACATTGTGCAAAGTGTTGGCCCCAGGGGAAATTTTCCCATACATTGGTATTGGTATTGATCCACAAACTCTTAATATTTTCCGTGACTTTGAACAAGAATCGATTTCAAATGAGTTTACTAAAAAGATTAAGCAGACCATTACCCCAGTCGTTCCACAAAATCACAAAACTTCAGTATGCATGGGGGTTTCTGACCGTGTCACGGTGCCTCATCGAGGTATTCGTTCGTCTCCAGTTTCATTGACACGGATGCTTTTGCACTTTATATCGATGAGGTTATTACGTGCGTTTGTTGATTTGCGTGTCAATTCCTGGGAGACCATTTTGCAGAATGTTTCTACTGTAGTTATAGAGGTTGCACGGAGGCTTGTTTTTGCATTAGATATGAAATGGGGGTTTACACGTGTTGGTTCTTGTTTTGCACAAGATGCTACCACCATGATTAATATTTTGGTTGAAGTCTTGGATAAAGTATGTTCGATTGTGATTCATGTTAATGGTCCTGAGGTTGTCCCGGATTATAATGAAGGGGAAGAGAAGTTTAGCGTTTTGCAAAGAGCAGCGGCTGATATTGAGGCTGTGCTAGGAATGGCAAATAAGAGTATAAGGCATCAAGCTAGCTGGAGAATTCTTCGAGTTGGGGTAGATTATTTAAAAAGTTTATGAAATATTTAAAGATAATATATTGGAAGTTGTTATCACTGAATAGTGATGTATTATTGATTCTTTTTAATGTTTTTTTTTTATTTTCTTTTTTTTTGAATGTCAAGCATATTTTTTTTAATGAATTTTTTTAAGCTTATTTTGTTTCCTCATTAGGCATTTTATTTTATTTACCAAGCTTTGTTTTTTTTTTAAAAAAAAAAAAAAAGGAACTATACATATTAATAATTGGTTTGAGGCCCACTATTTAGCATTTTAGATGCCTCATTTTACATTATTAAAGAAACAGGTATATAACAATATTAAATGACTGTTTTGAAATCCACAATTATAATTTTAATTCCTAGTCATTTTTTTAACAGTGATTTTAAATTATTGATATAATTTCAATTCAAAATTTATCTATTTAAAGATATGTATATTTGGTATAGCTTATTATAAATATGTGCAACAATGTTTTAAAAAAAAAAAAAAAAAAAAAAAAAAACAGACAATATCGTTTTTTTTTTTTTAGCTTTTCAAATAAAAAGAGAAATCTGTGGCTTAGAGGTATTGTTGAAAATTTTTTTAATCTAATTTTGTATTTTATTAATCGTTATCCTATGGTCATAACTTGTGTGTTCTAGTAAATTTTAGTAAAGCACAATAGGGTATTTTTTTTTTTTTGTATGCAAAATAGAAAAGCTTCTTTTATTTAATAAACAATTGAAAAGATGAATATATATATTCTCAAGAATAGTGTTTAAAACTATTGTTTTTGAATTTGGTATATATATTTTGCAATTTTTTTTTTTTTTTTTTTTTTTTACACAATATACAATTTATGGTATCATAAGAGATATTATTATTAAATGAAATAAATATTTAAATAATTATAATATCAATGAATATAATTTCCCAATTTAAAGTAATTGAAAATAATCAATTGAGCAATAGCAATTAAAAGTAATAATGTGAAACGAGTTCAGTAGTAGTAGTAGTAGTAGTAATATATAGTAATTATTTAATTAATTAATATGGTGGTGGTGATTGTTAAAAACTACGTCAATTATATGTTTGATTTGTATTACAACAATTTTTTTTAAATTGTTACATAATGTTTTGTAATATCACTTATTATTATTTATTATTATTATTATTATTATTATTATTATTATTATTATTATTATTATGATTATTATTATTATTATTATTATTATTATAATTAGTCAGCTATTTAATTATTTATTTTGTTACATCCAGTTGATTTAGCTGTGATTGTCAGCTACAACTTACCTACCAACTCTTGCGGCACAAAATAACCCGCCCATCACAATAAAAAAAAAAAATCATTTTTAAGTGTCTTTTTATTGGACCAGCCAAATCCTTTTTTTTTTTTTTTTTTGAAGGACCTATGATTGTAAATTTTTTTTTTTAATATTAAAGTCTGTATATATATTAATTATAATAAATATATATATATATATCAGATTTTTAAATTCAATTCAATTCAATTCTGTTGCTTATAAGCAAAATAATAATAAATTAATAAATAAATAAATTAATAAATAAATAAATTAAAAAAAAAATTAATAATAATAATAATAATAATAAATCTTAACATTTGTTGGACTATTAGGATTTTTTTTATTTAATTTTTTTATTTAATTTTTTTTTTAATTTTTTTTTTTTTTTTATTCCAATAGAAAGTAGAAACCCTCTCTCCCCTTCTTTCTCTCTCTCTTCTACTCCTACTACTTTTTTTTTTTTTTTCCTCTTTCTTTTTTATAAAAAAAAGTCTATATCCATCATTTACCTCATTCAACCCCTTCTTCGCTTTATAAGAACTCGCAGTTATCAACTCCTCTATAAGCAATCCTTTACCTTCATCTTTATAGATAATGATTGCATCTAGACAACTCGGGGTTGTTGGCAAGTCCAATATTGCCCGTCCCATACCTACCATCTACAGAAGCATCTCAACCACCTCCTCCAGCATAACGCAAAACTCGCGACGACCATTAAACACACAGCAATCCCAGACACAACAGTCTCAAAGACGATCGCTTGCCACCGTTGTTGGCGATAACCCAAAACCTAAGAAGCATGGTGGTCTCCGTGACCAGGACCGTATCTTTCAAAACGTGTACAACAACTATGGCCATGATCTTAAGTCTGCCAAGAGAATGGGTGATTGGTACAAGACCAAGGAAATCGTTCTCAAGGGCCACGAATGGATCATTGCCGAGATGAAAAAGTCCGGTTTGAGAGGTAGAGGTGGTGCCGGTTTCCCCTCCGGTCTCAAGTGGTCTTTCATGAACCCTCCTGGATGGGAGAAGAATGTTGGCCCTAGATACCTTGTCGTCAATGCCGATGAGGGTGAACCCGGTACCTGCAAGGATAGAGAAATTATTAGAAAGGACCCCCACAAGCTTGTCGAAGGTTGCTTGCTTGCTGGCCGCGCCATGAATGCTACTGCTGCTTACATTTATATTCGTGGTGAGTTTTACAACGAGGCTGCCATTCTCCAAACCGCCATCAATGAGGCTTATGCCGACGGCTTGATTGGTAAGAATGCTTGTGGCTCTGGCTATGACTTTGACGTTTACATCCACCGTGGTATGGGTGCTTACGTTTGTGGTGAGGAGACTGCTCTTATTGAATCCCTCGAGGGTAAGGCTGGTAAGCCCAGACTGAAACCCCCATTCCCTGCCGGTGTTGGTCTCTTTGGCAGACCCACCACCGTCACTAACGTCGAGACTGTTGCTGTTGCTCCTACCATTCTTCGTCGTGGTGGTGACTGGTTTGCCGGCTTTGGTCGTGAGAGAAACTCTGGTACCAAGCTCTTTTGCATTTCTGGTCACGTCAACGAGCCTTGTACTGTCGAAGAGGAAATGTCTATTCCTCTTAGAGAGCTTCTTGAGAAGCACTGCGGTGGTATCCGTGGTGGCTGGGACAATCTCCTTGGTGTTATTCCTGGTGGTTGCTCTGTCCCCATTTTGACCAAGGACGTTTGTGAGCATGTTCTTATGGACTATGATGATCTTAAGGACCATCAATCTGGTTTGGGTACTGCTGCCGTCATTGTTCTTGATAAGAGCACTGATATTGTTCGTGCCATTCAACGTTTCTCTTACTTTTACAAGCACGAGTCGTGCGGTCAGTGCACTCCTTGCAGAGAAGGTACTACTTGGCTTCTGAAGGTCATGGATAGATTTAAGGCTGGTCAAGCCGGCCCCCGTGAAATTGATATGCTTTGGGAGCTTACCAAGGAAGTTGAAGGTCACACCATTTGCGCTTTGGGTGATGCTGCTGCTTGGCCCATCCAAGGTCTTATCCGCAACTTTAGACCTGAGCTTGAGGCTCGTTTCCAGAAGTTTAATGAGGATGTTGGCGCAGTTTCTGTTGGTGGCTGGACTCCTGGTGCCACTGTTGGTTCCGGTAAAGTCATTGGAGGCCCTGTTCCTGGCAGCCATTAAGAGAATAAATAATAATAAAAAGAAAACCCCCTCTCGAGACTTTTACAATACTGAAAGAAAAAAAAAATAATCATTCTACTTAATTACTTTTCACATTTTTTTTATGTGAACATCAAATCATTTCATTGCTATAGATAGGGCAACTGTTTATAAATACATATATAAATTTTTAGCTTTAAAGAAAAAAAAAAAATTTAAAAATTAAAAATTAAAAATTAAAAATTAAAAAAAAATCTTTTATTAATGAAAATTTCATGGTAGTACTTTGTTTTCAATATTTGAATGAATATTGTGAATTGGCTTTTTTTTTTTTTATTTTTTTTTATTTTTTTTTAATTTTGTGATTATAATCCTAGAGATTTGATTGGTTGTTGATTTAGCAGAGATTTTAAAGGCTTTTTTATTTTTTATTTTTTCGTAAAATTGCATTTGGTGATGAGGTCTTTTTTTTTTTTGTAAAACTACATGAGGTTACCGAATAGCTCTCATAGAAAAAAATAAAAAAATAAAAATAAAAAATTCAAAATTCAAAATTTACTCAACAGAGATGTTTAAAAGTCAAATATTCAACAATATAAATGAATATAAAGGGTATATGTATATAATATTAATTATGAAAAACAAATAAACAAAAATAAAAGTAATTTATGATTTTAGTTAAAAAATGAAAAATAAAAACAAATGACATTTATACTGGTTATATATATATATATATATATATATTAGAAAAAAGAGAAATGAAGTAGGAGGAGAAGGAGGATATCAAGACTTTAACTAATTTTAATGTTTACATAAAAACCCTTACCCTTGAGGAATCTTTAAATCTTCTTTAAAAACAAATTGAAGGAATAATTAAACTAAATATTTATCGTGATAAAAAATTATTATTATACAAGGGGGGGGAGGGGGGAAGAAAAAAAAAAAAAAAAAAAAAAAAACAGACCAAATATTTGACATTTGGGTTAACTTTGAATTTGAATTTGAATTTGAATTTGAATTTGAATTTGAATTTGAATTTGAATTTGAATTTGAATTTGAATTTTATTTATTTATTTATTTTAATTTTATTATTATTATTATTATTATAATCTATTTAAAATAATTCTTTTATATTTTACCCTAAATTTAAATAAAAATTAATTTCATGCCAATATCCGATACTTGAAAATCTTAAACTTCACTCGTTAGTTAACTCAACTTTTGATACACCTGGGTTATTTCCAAATCCAACCTTTACTTAAAAATAAAAAAAAAAAAATTGTTTTCATTAAATTAAATTAAATATATATATATATATATATATATATACAATAGTATCCTTGTTTACCTGTAATTTTTTTTTTCTTTATTACCATTTCCTATAAACAGTATTATGATTTATAATTACCACACACCAACCATTGAACCTGGATAATCTCCCGTAGCACTGTTAGACCCTCCACCATTACCTGAATTCCAATAATTTGTATAATCATCATCGTTATCTCCATCTTCATAATGATTATCTTTATTATCAGCAGTGCTGCAATCTTCAGTTTGGAGGCTACCTGCAGCACGACGTTTTTTTGATGACGCTTCAGAAATGGATGCTTCGACTGCACAATTATACAGAGGAGCCTTGCGTTTTGAAGAAGAAATAGAATGCAAAGCTGAAGCAGTAGTAATGGAATCTTCAGACTCAGAGTCGTAAAATAAACCCTGAGAAGAGGTCGAAGTGTTTGGGTAAAGCGGAGCCAAAAGCCTGGCTCGAAGATATTCCAAAATAAGAATGGCGGTTGGGGAATGTGAAACATCAGACGATGATGATGATGATGATGACAATGAAGATGTCAATGGTCCCTTAGCTTGGGGACCTCTTGTGTGATGATTTTGCTTTTTACGGGAAGGTCCAGCCATTGCCTTTTTAACTGACATTGATGCAGAGTATACTTCACGAGACAGTTTATCCACAATAAGCTGTTTAGTCCAATGTAAGGGTTTTGTTGGAGTTGAGGCCCCTGCACCAGAAACAGAGTTAAGAGCAGCCATTGCTGTTTCATCAAGTTTGTTATAGATGTTGGTTTCTTTGTTATTGGGGCTTGAGTCATTTACTGGTGAGGGAGCTCTACTGACAGCAGCAGAAGACAAGTAATTTCCATAAGAGTTGTATCGAGAAGAAGAAGAAGAAGAAGATGATGATGAAGATGATGAAGATGATGAAGATGAAGATGAAGAGGATGAAGAAGAAGACAAGGAGGAAGAGGCAGTGGTTGAAGTAAAAGAAAATGATGCAGCTCTAGTAGGTTTTTGAGGTTTTGGATCAACAAAACGCTCACCCATGATGATTTCCAAAATCTCATCATCCAAACCAATAAAGTCATAAAGAACTTTTCGAGCCAACATTTGAAGAAAGGATTCTTCTTCTTCTTCTTCTTCTTCTTCTTCTTCTTCTTCTTTATTTCCTTTTTCCTTTTCTTTGTTTGACTTTCCACGAAATAATTTTTTAGTAGTAGTAGTAGTAGTAGTATTAGAAGTAGTAAACGAGGTCTTAGACGAAATAGGTCTTGAAGTCAAGGAGGCCATGTCTAAAGTATGATTAGTAAAATTTCTGTATTGGAGTAGCTGCGCAGCAGTTTCATATGGAGAAGATGAGGAGAGAATGAAGTAGAGTTCATTTGCAAGAACTGATGCAGGGTCTGAAGTAGTTGGGAAGCGGCCATTAAGAGCCGCGGCGATAATTGTATGAGAATGAACGTTTGATGCAGAAGCAATGTTTCCCAAGTTTTGAGCTTTTGAGGAAGATGAGGAAGATGATAATGTTGCCATTAATTCATCTACTTTTGGATTTTTTTGTTTTTGTTCCTTCACTGTTTCTGCTACTTCTGCTGTTTCTGTTTCTGTTTCTGTTTCTGCTGCTGCTGCTGCTGCTGCCGCCATACTATCTTCCTCATCTTCAGGAAGACCCCAAGAGGAAAGTGTATCATAAGCAGCCGGAGCTGAAGCTGGAGCGAAAAGACGTTTTTTCTCGAGCTTTTTAAACTCATTATAAACATGCTGTGATTGGTTAAACCGCCAGACATTGACTCTATCAAGCGAGTTCATGGGGGAGGAGTTAACAGATTGGGAGGCATGAGATGGGATGTTTACAGGATCAACGTTAGAGTGAGGAGTTGCTGATTCATCAGTGGTAACAATAGAAGCAGGTACAGCAGCAGAGTTACCTGTGGCGGTAGCAGAAGCAGAAGCAGAAGCAGCAGCGGCAGCGGCAGCAGCAACAGATCTATTTAGAGTATCTAGAAAGGAAGACGAGCGGGTGAAAGCACCTGATCCGTTATGAGAGGGGAGAGCTAAAGGTGTTTGTGAGCCAGCTAATGGGGTATCAGGGTTATAAAAAAAGGGGATTATTGATCCCGAGGAAGAATAATGACTCAAGGTATTATATTTTGTTTCATCATATTCATCAAAATCCCCATTGTTAGTAAATTTTTTTTTTTCATCTATTCCATCATTATCTTTATGATCATGTCTTTCTTGTAGCGAATCCTGGTCGGAATCCTGTTCTTCTTCTTCTTGGTCGCGTGCATGGTCGTCATCCTCTTGGTCGGATGGCGCAAACACCACCCAGTCTTGATCCCAAGCGGCTTGAAGTTCAAGTTGGCGTTGCCTTAAGAGTCTGAGTTGATGTGGATATGATTGTTGAGGAAAGCTTGGAGAGGATGATGATTCTGAAAGGAGGTTTGTTTGTCTTGTTGAGGATGAGTCTGAAGTTAAAGATAAGGAATCTTCTGTGGTGGATGAGTGGGATGCGGTGGGATACAATGGAAGTGGTGGTGGTGGTGGTGGTGGTGATGACGATGATGATGGATGTTGCTTATCAGTAAAGTTTTTATTTTTTAATGGAGAAGATGAGGAGAATTTTAAAGAAGAAGAAGAAGAAGAAGAAGAAGATGATGATGAGATTAAAGATAGAGAAGAGAAACTTGCAAATGAAGCATTTGAAGAAGTTTCATTTAAAATTCTTGAAGAGGATTTTGGTAAGCCTGTTGATTGGGTTGTTTGTCGGCGGTGGCGGTTTTTATTATGAAGAGAGGGGGTCGTTTGAGTCGTCTGTTGTGGAGTTGAAGCAGATGCAGGAGGATGAGAGGGTCTATAAAAGAATGTATTTGACATTTTAATTAAAGAATGAGGGAGGGATTTATATTATATATGGCAATTAAAATATATGATTTGATGAACAGAAAAAAAAAAAATGATTTATGGAGGTTTATGAATATATTTATATATATAGCAAGAAAAAAAAAAAAAAAGAATGATATGAGCAAAATATAAAATAAATAAGAATGAGCTCTTTTTATTATTAACGAGAAGGACTTAATATAGTATATATATGTGTGTGTAGGATCAAAAATAAAAATAAAAATAAATTATATAATAAAGGACTTAAGCATTTCAAAAAAAAAAAAAAAAAAAAAAAATATTATTATTGAGATAAGACAAAGAAAGCTCATCACAAACACCCGCCCGCCGTTCACAAAAACTTTTAATTATTAACTATAAAAGGTTGCCAGTCAGTCAGTCAGTCAGTCAGCCAGCCAGCCAGCTGAGCAATTACAACATTAATAGTAATAATATAGTGTAACAAAAAAAAAAAAAAAGAGATGTTTATAAAATAAATTGTGACATTACATTAATTTTATATTACAAGTTTTATTTCACAAAATTTTAAAAAAATTACATAATCATGCTTACTAATAATTACATTCGTATTTATCGTTTAATTCAACTCACGTGATATACGGCTGTGGCATGATAATTACCGGAACCTTCACAATTTCCGAAAGAGCCTTTAAGCTTAAACGCGTCTTTTTATTTTTTATTTTTTATTTGTATATTTGTATATTTGTATATAAAATAAAAATAAAAATAAAAAATAAATCTAAAATTTTCCAAAATAAAAAAAATAACAGATACTCGGGACATAATTATTAATATCAAACCACCACACCACACAACAATAACAACGGCCCGGCAGTTACTCCATATATAAGTATCTTTTTATTTTTATTTTTATTTTATTTATTTCAATTCAAAATCTCCCTTTTCCCTCTTTCTTTTCCCTTCTTCTTCTTCTTCCTACTTCCCCTTTCTGACTTATCACCAAAATCTATTGGCCACGGGTCTTCGGTGCCATCTTAATCCATTCTTTTTTTTTTTTTTTTTTTTTTTTTTTTTTTTTTTTTTTTTTTTCTTTTTTCTTTCTTTCTTTCTTTCTTTCTTTCTTTCTTTTTCTTCTTTCTTTCTTTCTCTCTCTCTCTCTCTTCTTTCTCATATCAATCATGTCTGCTATAGTAAACTCATCTTCCTCATCGGTAGACCCAAATCTACTTTCTGGAGCCGCAGCTACAGCGTCGGCGTCCTCATCTTCCCTGATCATGTCACTCGTCCTTTACCTTCGTCAAAATCTTTCTATTTGGTCCATCCTCCTTACTTCTTTCTTAGCTCTTATTGTCTATGACCAAATCTCTTATGTTATTAAAAAGGGCTCTATTGCCGGACCTCGCTTCAAAATGTGGCCCATCATTGGTCCCTTTCTCGAATCAATGGACCCCAAATTCGAAGAATATAAAGCAAAATGGGACTCAGGCCCCCTATCTTGTGTCTCGGTCTTTCACAAGTTTGTCGTCATTGCATCAACAAGAGATTTGGCTCGCAAAATTCTTAACTCTCCAGCCTTTGTTAAACCTTGCGTTGTTGATGTTGCAATTAAAATCCTCAGACCAACTAATTGGGTCTTTTTGGACGGCAAGGCCCACGTCGATTACCGCCGTTCCCTTAATGGCCTCTTCACACGCAAGGCTCTTTCTGTTTACCTCCCCAACCTTAACCAGGTTTATGATCGCTACTTGGATCTTTTTGTTCAAACTTCTAAAGATGGGCCAGTCCCATTTATGCCTCTCTTTCGCGAAATTCAATGTGCAGGCTCTCTTCGCACCTTTTGCGGTACTTATATCACTGATGATCAAGTCAAAAGTATCTCGGACAATTTCTACCGTATCACTGAAGCCCTCGAGCTCGTGAATTTCCCTATTATTCTCCCCTTTACAAAGGCCTGGTACGGTAAACGTATGGCCGATGAAACCATGGCTATTTTTGAAAACTGTGCAGCCATGGCTAAAAAGGCTATGGCTGCTTCAGGCACCCCAGAAGTTACCTGCACTATGGATGCCTGGGTTAAGCTTATGCTTGAATCAAAGGAACTGCTCAAGGATGACCCCAAGGGCGAAAAACTTACTCCGGAAGAACGCCGTAACCTTGTGCGCGAATTCACCAATCGTGAAATCTCTGAAACTATCTTCACCTTTTTATTTGCTTCCCAAGATGCTACATCTTCTGCCACCACTTGGCTTTTCCAGATCATTGCTGATCGCCCAGATGTTTTGCGCAAAATTCGTGAGGAACAACTCCGTGTCCGTGGCCCCGAGCTTAAGGAGGCCGACCTCGACATGGTTGATCAAATGGATTACACCCGTATGGTAGTTAAGGAGGCTCTTCGCTACCGTCCCCCAGTCACCATGGTCCCTTATGTTGTCAAGAAACCATACCCTATTTCTGCAGATTACACTATCCCTAAGGGCTCCATGGTTATTCCAACTCTTTACCCTGCACTTCATGACCCAGAGGTTTATGATCAACCTGATGAGTTTATCCCTGAGCGTTGGGTCGAGGGCTCTAAGGCTTGCCAAGCAAACTCCAACTGGTTGGTCTTTGGCACTGGCCCACACGTATGCCTTGGCCAGAATTATGTTTTTATGGGTCTTGTCTCGTTGTTTGGCCGCGCGGCTCTCTACTACGATTGGAAGCACACCGTTACCCCTTTGTCTGAGGAAATCCGTGTGTTTGCTACCATTTTCCCTCAAGATGATTGCATTCTGAAGTTTACAAAGCGTGATGATCCCACCGTGGTTTAATAGAAGGTGGTGATGGGAATGTTGTACAGTTGGACATTAAATATAAATTTTTTTTTTTTTCTTATAAAAATTCTTTATGACCTGATTTAGAGCGGACTTTGTTTTTTTAATTTAATTTAATTTAATAATATCTTAATTGTTTTTTTTTTTAATTTTAATTTTAACTTTAACTTTAACTATATATAAACAAAATTCCCTTCACTCACGTCATTTTTTTTTTTTTTTTTTTTTTTTGTTTATACCAAAACCAATCTCTTATAAAATTCTCGTCCCAAGAATGTCCTGCTCATACGACTTGTGCGTGGCCCGGCCACTGCTCAAGGACGCATGTAAGGCTATCTTATCTACCATTCTTTTCCACAGACTTATTGGCACAAATGTCCCCCAAACGCGTAACGTTTTTGGGCCCAGCTCCGGATCCGGCCAACGTAATGACGCCGCCATAGAAGACTCAACACCGGTCGCATACCCAGCTCTTAGCGATCCCCACGTCGATGCGCTTATTGAAGAATGTGTTTCACGTGCAGAAAATCTTGCAGCTACAAATATAACAACCACACCTCGAACACAAAAAATCCTTTGTACCATCCAATTAAGGTTCCTCAGACAACCTGTGCTGCCAGATACTCCAGCGACAGAGCAGGTTGGACGTGTTGTTGTGGAGGACCGGCCGGATGCTGCAGAGGTTGCAGATTCGTGGGAGCTTTGGGCCATTCGCATTTTAGGTATTTAAAATCCTCAGTTCTTGTCATTCTTATCTATCTATCTATCTCTCTATTTTTTTTTTATTTATTTATATATTTATCTATCGATCTCTTTATTAATATCTAACCAAAGTGGATTGGGAATTTTAGAATACGCGACTTCAAAACCTCCAAATGATAAAGTTCATATTGCTAGAGCTGTTACCCAAGTCAAATCAATTCTTACAAACATTGTTTCACGAGCTTGTGCCCAGCGGGCTCAGATCCCGGCAATTGTAACAGTAGCAGTGGCACCATTTGCTTATACTTTGGCCGTGATCCCTGGTGAAATACCCGAGTATTCTGTTGGCGCCGAGCGTAGCGGGAACTGAGTACGAGACCGTGGAAAGTTCAGAAACAGAGCACGGGTATGGTGGGCCCGGTACATCATCGGGTCAACAACAACAGCAACAACAACCATCATCGGCCGTTTCGTGGGCCGCACGGTTCAAAAAGGTACTTGAGGCCGGGTAACTTTATATTACGCTTTTTTTAATTTTTTTTATTTTTTAATTTTTTAATTTTTTGTATTACCACTATTATTATTTGTAACAAATCAATCTATTACTCTTCCCTATTTTTTTTTATTTTTTTCTCCCCCCCCATCCACCATTAAAATTTTTCACTACTAACAAAAACCAACCAACCAAAACACACCCGGATCTTCAACCGCTACCGCTACTACTACTACTACTACTACTACCCTCCCCCTTCACATCAAAATGGCAGCCCGACGAGAACTGCGCAAGACTTCGCGGTACACGCGCGCAATGCAGTCCGCAAATGCTCAACAAGAATTGTATATGAACACCCGTTTCAAAAAGGCGTACCCAGAGTTTATCCGCCATCAAATGTTCCCACACGACACTTACATTCCTGAAAAGGAGCGCCTTCAAGCCGATGAATGGCCGCTCATGCTGGGCGACCGAGTGCAGGTTGTAAAACCTAACAAGGGGTTTTCTGATGACCGTGGGAAGGTGGGTAAGATTGTGCACATTGATACCCGAGCCAATATGGTATTTGTCGATGGTCTTGGCGGTACCAAGCGTCTTGTTGTTCCACCACAAAGTTTCTCCGAGGGTCAGACTCGTCCTGTTGTTGATGTCCCTCAAGGAATGCCCATTAAGAATGTGAGATTGGTGGTCACAGTCCCCGCTGAGGAAGATGGTCAGCCTGATAAGGATGTGGCTGTACACAGTCTTTTCATTGACAAGGAAAACAAATATTACGACCCTGATTATAATCAGTTTCTCTCCACACGTGTACTCGAACATGACCGTGAGGTTGAGATTCCCTGGCCACGTCCAGCCAAGCTGCTTGAGCCTACCACTGACACCGAGCTCACTACTGCGGCTGGTGTTGCCAGTGAGCGTACCTTTTATGCCAAATCACTTGTTGAACCTCCAGTTCCTGTGGCTGCTCTTCCTCAGATTCGCAACATCCATTCCAAGTTCAAGCGTCATAAGCTTATAACCCCACAAGATATTTTGCGTTTCACTACGCCCGTCATGCCTACACCACCTGCAAAGAAGGCATACCTTGCAAAGGCCGAGGAGAGGTTCGGTTCAGATAAGAGTAAGGTTAGACCTAAGCATCTCGATGATTCTGAGTTTGCTGAAATTGAGGACTTTATTGGCAAGGAAATTGAAAAGGGATTGGAGAGAAGACTGACAGAGGAGACACAGGCTTATGCCCAGTACCAGTAAATAATTAAAGCGCACTTTTTTTGTACATATATATATATATCTCGACGAATGGAAAAAAAAAAAAATAAAAATAAAAAAATTAATTAATTAATTAATTACATCTATACTACTTATTAGTCAAGGCACTAATCATTTGAATATAAAAGACCTTGAATTGCTTTGTGTTTTGACCCTGAAGGTTCTGCACATATTCGGAAATGTACTCGTTAGGAAGTCCAATAGAGGGAAGGTACTGAGCCTGGAGAAATTGTATGTATACATCACCATATTTGGCGTAAATCTCGCGCTGGACAGTTGCCAAGTCTCCTAACAGTCCACGCATAACAGCATCACGAGTATTAAAGTTAGGTCGCGTGGGGATTTCCCAAGTAATACGCGAAATGTGCTGCAGTGTAAATTCCTTAAATCCAGGAACAGGTTTACCCTCTTGAGAATTTTCACCAGTCCCCCAGATTTGTAGCATCTTGTTAAGACACAACACAGCAACTTTAGCTGATCCGCTATCACCTTCAACATCTGCACTATATATGAGTAGTGATTGCAAAACAGGTTCATAGATTTTAGGTGCGTTTGTAGGTGAAAACAAAATTGAGCCCATACCATTGTTGAACAAGTTGTACAAAAATGTCAGGTATGACTTGCGTAGCTCACGTTTCAAGATTCTGGCGTCCGTGGCTCCACCTGATGCAACAGCCTCCTCATCAGCCTTGGTTAAAGCCGATGTGATTCTACTAAAAAGTGGAGCCATGAGCGTATCAAACATTTCGTAAACGCCAGGTTCTTCTCGAAAGTTATGAACAAGCTGTCCCAAAAAGCCCAAAAAGTCGGCAAGTTCTTCTAGCTTGGAAAGTTCCAGCATGCAAGAAATGAGACGGGTGACTTCGCTCAAAATAGTAGAGCCAAGAACAGGAATTAAGCGTGAAATGGCAAACCGGGCACCATCACGAATTACTTCGGCCCGACCCATACGCTCAAGTGATGTAATGACAACGCGTGTTGCAGTGCGAAACTCTTCAGCAACTTCCGAGTCCATTCCACCACGCACCGTGTCACTGTTTGCATTAGCTGCAGTGCCAACCTCGTTGAATCCACGAGCAAAAGTGCCAATAGCCATAATGTCATGATGGACCTGGAGTGCAGCCAGGGTGTCATCCTCAGGCTTACCCAAGTTTTGTTCCACATCATTGTAAATGGGTTGTAACAAACTGCGTAAAAGCATTAATTGTTTTTTATTATCAAGCACAGTAGAAAATGCATCATTGCTAGAAGCGTCACGTTTGTGGTGGTTAGAGAGAAGTAAGCCGCAAAGCTCGAAAAGGTAAAGCTGACTATCAAAAAAGCCGGCACCAGAAGCCTCGGTACCAGAGATTTCACTTTCATCATCTTTAAGAGGAACCTCGGCCTTGATTTGCAAGAGTGAGGACTGGATAGAAGTAAAGACCATTTCAGCCACATTGGCGCGCAAAATGCCACGCACCGACTTGACAAAGCGGAAAAAAAGGTACCAGGACCGCACTTGGACACGGCGGTTAGAATTGTGGATGCCAAGGGGTGACACAAAGCTTTCCAAAACTTTTGCTAGGGCATCTGAGTTTGAGGACGAGAAAAACATGCTGTGACGATTGACAAGCTCCATATAGTGAAGCTGGATGGATGGATGGTTCATTGCAACAACGTTGCTTTCAATCATTTTAAAAAAAAGTTCATAGAGTGTGCGAGACGCGCGGGTTTCAACGCCTTTGACGACAGCGACAGCTCCATTGCGAAGAGATTCTGAGTATGCGCTGAGCTCAAAGAGACCGAGCTCAACATCTTGCCAAGAAGAAACAGCAGAGGGATCAAAGCTAGTAGTTACAATGGAAATAATGCCATCAATGTAGAGATCCATATCGATGCTTGCGATTTGATCTTGGAGGACCTTGAGTCGACTACGAATATCCAAAAACTCAGTTTCACTTTCGTCGTCTCCACCAGTCCATGAAGCGTCATTATCATAACGCATCTTGACAATGATTTTGGTTAATAACAGTTGAAGGATTTCACGGCGGGTAGAGGAAATGAAGGTTGAGTCTGGGGGGAAATCTGCAATGTAGCCTGTATCTTTGTTGCGTTGCATTTTGGAAGTATCGACGCTAGCTTTTGCTTGTTTTGATTCTGTTCGAACAAAAACCAGGTATTCACCAACACATGGGAAAACTTGAGAAGAGGTATCATCGTATTCGTTTGACAGATAGTGGATGATGGTAGGCATAAAGTCAATGAGTAGGGCCTCTGCTTTTTGAGAAATATCTGGGGTTAGGGGGACACGAGCAGCTGTTGATGTTGAACCATCAAGAATGTGGACGAGTTCAATGACGACAACGTTTGAGAGTTTAGCGAGACGTTCCTCGAGTTCGAGATCCTGGTTATTTGAAAGTTGTGAAATGATATTTTTTAAATCTAAGAGTTGGAGAAGTTCTAGCTTATCGCCAGGCTTCATTTTTTTCGAAATGATTTCCAGAAGGGTATCGCATGTGGTTAATTTATGAGGAGAGGTATTTGAAAGGAAAGAAAAGATTGTTTGGAGGTATGATGGATTGACAATAAGGGTGATATCAATCCAAGAGACCCAGCCTCCAATAACTTTGAGGCAAGAGTCAATGATTGTTTGTGATTCTTTATCATTGTTTTTGCTATAAGTTTGAAGAATGTGACGCCATGATTCTGCGAGTTTTGAGACTGCGCGATCACGAATGAGGTCTTTGAGAATGTTGTTACGTTTTGTTGTACCTTGGTCGCGGACAATGAGATTGTCACCAATTTCTGCGTGGACAGCCAGCAAGACACGAAGGTAGAGGTCGACAGCACGCTGGTTTGCAAAAGTTGGAGGGGAGAGGGTAGCAATCAAGTCATCGAAGAAGGAAGGCCAGAGGGAAGTGTTGTAGGTGAGGATGAACAAGTATGAAAGGGTTTGTGCGAGTTTATTTCTTAGGAAGGATTCACCAAAAGGATTTGATGAAGAAGAGGAAGAGGAAGAGGAAGAGGAAGAGGAAGAAGAAGAAGTGGATGATGATGATGATGATGATGATGATTCTATAGATTTTAAAATATAGGAAAAGATAGATGATTTGGCTGAGGACAAGTCAGAAGCTTGAAGGTTTGGAAGGGCAGCGTCTACAATCTGGAGCGAGAAGAAACGAGCGGTATCAGATCTTTGAGTGGTTGAATCGGCAAAAAGAGCAAGCCCTGTTTTCCAGCCATCTGGTGAGTTTTTGACGAGGTTACAGTAGTCAATGGCTTCTTGTTTGAGGTTACTGGAGCCACTAAGTGCGGTGTTGACCGCGAGCTCAAGCCGATCTTCCATGGTAGGGATAATAACAATAGGTGAGTGAGTAAAGAGAGAAAGAGAGAAAGAATAAAAGAAAGAAAGAAAGAGAGAGAAAGAGAGAGAAGAGGGGGAGAGGAAAAAAGAAATAAAGAAAGAAATAAAGAAAGAAATACGGATATATTTACTTTATATACAAAGAGTATATACAAGTATATATGGATATATATATATATATATATATGTATGAATATATGAATATATGAATATATGAATATATGAATATACTTGTATTTGATATGATGATGGTAGATGAATTCAGGAGAGAGAGAGAGAGAGAGAGAAAGAAAAAAAAAAAAATCTGGCGATTCTGTCAAAAAAAAAAAAAAAAAAAACTTGAATTTTATTTATTTTTTTTTATTTTTTTTTATTTTTTTTTAAATTTTAAATTTTATATTTTTCAGTGGCGGTGAGCAATAATTTTTATTTTATTTTTTTTAAATAGAAAAAAAAAAAAAAAAAAAAAAAAAAAAAAAAAAACCTATTTGAAGTTAAAATTTTTCAGTAGTTTTGTATGACACATTTTTTTTTGTTACAATAAAATCAGGGTTAGGGATGGAATGAAATACTTACCTCGACTATTTCATTTTATTTTATTTTTATTTTTATTTTTATTTATTTCTTTAATTTTTATTTTTAATCTTTTATCTTTAATTTTTGCTACAAGCATAATGACGAGTGTAGTATCTTACAAGACCATCGTATGCAAGAGGATCAATTTGACGGTTACGAGCTAAATTTGCAGCATCAATGTTTAATGGTGAATCAGGTTCTGGATCAGAAAGCATTGCTTGTATGGCGGTACATGCTGAAGAAACAGACCAAGCTGGAGTCCATTGGGCTTTGAGAACATCAAGACAAACTTCACCAGAAGTTGCATGAATATTAGGGTGACATATAGGAGTGATGAATTTAATTTCTGGTGGATGCAGAGGATAAGATGGAGGAATTTTAATTGAGATATCCCATAGACCGTCTTTTTAGTGTTAGTTTTTAAAAAGTGAAAGTAAAATTGAATGTATATATATATTTATATATATATATATATATATATATATATACTATACTATACTACAAACCTTGATATGGTGTATTTGGAACACCCTTTAGTCTTCCTTTCCAAAGGAGTAGATTATTGTCAGACACTGGTTGTAAGAATTCTAATGCTGGGTTTGGATCTTTTGCATTAGCTTTAAGTTCTTTTGTGAGACGTTTAATAGCAGCAACTGATGGGTCCATGATTTTTTTTAGTTTAATTTATTTTTTTTTTAAAAAAAAAAAAAAAAATTGTTTGTGTTTATGTGGTTTGTTGATATTTAATAAATGTGGGGGGGGTGGGAATGATGGTGATAATAATTAATTAATTAATTGATTTGAAGGATTTGAAATTGGGCCTTTATTTTTATTTTTATTTTTTATGTAAGAGTTTAATTTTTTGGTTAATTTTAGTTTAACTTTAAAATGATTAAATGAAATTTATTTTATATTATTATTGTTATTATATTATTAACTATAACAATAATTTCCCCAGGTTTTTTTTATTTTTATGAGTATATCTAAGAATTGTGTATATCATATACTGTATTTTTTTTATTTTTTATTTTTTATTTTTTTTTTATTTTTTTATTTTTTTATTTTTTTATGCACTACCACCATTAAATAATTATCTTGATTAGAATTTCAACATTGCTGTAGTGATGTTAGTGGTGGTGGATAACTTTTTTTTTTTTTTTTTTTTTTATTTATAAATATAAATATAAATTTAAATTTAAATTTAAAAAACAATCATTGTATTAGTAGTAGTAGTAGTAGTAGTTGTAGTAGTAGGAAACCCTTTCCCTATCACTTTTTTTTTTTTTTTTTTTTTTTTTTTTTTTTTTTTTTTTTTTTTTTTTTTATGTCTCCTCCTCCTCCTCCTCCTCCTTCTTTAAAAAAAACTTCCACACACCCCCCCCCCCTCTCTCACTCTTTTTTAATCCAGCCATCCATCCAGCCAGCCAGCCAGCCAGCCAGCCAGCCAAATAATTTTTTTTTTTTTTTTTTTCACTGCCACCAAAAATAAATAAATAAAAAAAAAACCTCCTTTTTAATTTTCTAATTTTTTTTTAATTTTTTTTAATTTTTTTTTTTAATTTTTTTTAATTTTTCTTTCTTTCTTTCTTTCTTCTTACCATCCACTTTTTTTTTCTCTCTCTCTCTCTATTTAAAACAATCAACAACAACCAACAACAATCATCAACAATTATCATCAAACTTATTCAAAAATAATCTCATTTTTCTCTGCTATTTTGTAGCGCTCATTATTCTCATCTTTTTTTTTTTTTTTTAAATTTTTTTTTTTATCTTCTCATCTTCTTTTATTTTCATTTTTTTATACTCATCTTTAGATATCTCACATTTTTTTTTAAAAAAAAAAAAAAATCTACTTGAAACTCATCCACACATAGAACCCAAGTAGAAATCTTTTTATAGAAACCTCAAGAAACTTTATATATATATATATATATCTCATCAAAAAGAAGAAGAAAAAAAAAATTATTCATTGAATAGCAACAATTTCAACTGAAAAGAAAAAAAAAAATAAAATAAAAGCGCTTCAAACAACCCCTTTTTTTTTTTTTTTTTTTTTTTTATCACACCATGCTATATACCCCTAGAACAAACACCTTATAATACGCGTTTTTTTTTTTTTTTAATATTTTTTAACTCTGCAATATTTCAGCTCATATGTCTGGACAAATGCCGTCCCAATCCTCAAATGTTGTTGGCGTGCACTACCGCGTCGGCAAAAAAATCGGTGAAGGTTCCTTTGGTGTGATTTTTGAAGGCACCAATCTTCTCAACAACCAACAAGTCGCTATTAAATTTGAACCAAGAAAAAGTGATGCTCCTCAACTGCGTGATGAATACCGCACATATAAGATTCTTGTCGGCACTGTTGGAATCCCCCACGTTTATTACTTTGGCCAAGAAGGTCTCCACAATATTCTAGTTATTGACCTTTTGGGCCCCTCTCTAGAAGATTTATTTGACTGGTGTGGACGCCGCTTTTCTCTTAAAACAACTGTTATGGTAGCCAAGCAAATGCTTACGCGTGTGCAAGCCATTCATGAAAAATCGCTCATTTACCGTGATATTAAGCCTGATAACTTTCTAATTGGAAAACCTGGAACAAGAACTGCAAACCTCATTTATGTGATTGACTTTGGTATGGCTAAACAATACCGTGATCCTAAAACTAAGATGCACATTCCTTACCGTGAGCGAAAGTCTCTTTCTGGTACAGCCCGCTATATGTCTATCAATACCCATCTTGGTCGTGAGCAATCGCGCCGTGACGACCTGGAGTCTTTGGGCCATGTTTTCATGTACTTTTTGCGCGGCGGTCTCCCCTGGCAGGGCCTCAAGGCGGCCACAAATAAGCAAAAGTATGAAAAGATTGGTGAAAAGAAGCAAACTACTCCCATTGAGGAACTTTGTTCTGGGTTCCCTCCACAATTTGCTACTTATCTACGATATGTTCGTAATCTTGAGTTTGATGAAACTCCAGATTATGATTATCTCCGTGACTTGTTCACCGAGGCATTGCAATCTGTCGGTGAGACTGAGGATGGTGAGTATGACTGGATGAAGTTGAATGGTGGTAAGGGCTGGGATGCAGTGCACAACCGTAAGCCCAATCTTCATGGCTATGGACACCCATATCCTCCTGGCCATCGTCATTCATCCCAGCAAGTCTCGAATGCCGCTGCCGCAGCAGCAGCCCTCGCAGCTCCTGGCGTTGTCAATGGTAGTAACCAAGCTTTAGCTTCTTCATCTCAAGGCCGTCTATCTCAATCACCTCAACAACAAGGTCAATCTTCTCAACAACCACAACAGCAGCAACAGCAGCAACAACAACAACAACAACAACAACAAGCATCTTCTAACGTCCCACCTCCACCAAACGCGGCAGTTGTACGCAACTCGAGTCGGTCCAAGCGTTCACGTCAACAAGTTCCTCTGCCAAACGGAGGTGCGGGTTCCAATGCGCCTCTGGGTGCTGGCGCCTCAGGTGCTGGAGGAGCCCCCGGTAGCCGCATGAGCAAGACTTTGGGTAATACACCTGGAAATTATGGAGCTTATCCTACTCCTCAGCAAACACAAATTCCTGGATCTTTACCTCAGCAGCAGCAATTACAACAACAACAACAACAACAACAACAACAACAACAACAACAATCGCAACAACAACAACAGTCACAACCAAACGTTGCAGGAAGTTCTTCTTCTCCTCAACAACAGCATTCTCAGTTGCAACAGCCTCAGTCTTATACACAAGGTCAGAAGGCAACTGCATCGAACCCGGCATCTCCTACACAAAACCCTTACTATTCGCAGCAGCAGGCTGAGCCAGAGCGTAAGGGATTTTTTGCAAAGATTACGTCGTTTTGCTGTGGTTAGAAAGGGTCTTTGTTTTTTTTTTTTTTTATGACCTCTTTTTGACCTTTTTTTTTTTTTTTTAGAAGAAGAAGAAGAAAGAAAGAAAGAAAGACAGTTTATAAGAACGTTTTTTTCTTTACATTGTATTTCTTTCTCCAACCTACATTCTATTTACATACTCTCCCACTTATTTTTTTTTCACTTTTTTACTTTTACTTTCACTTTCACTTTTTCATGTTTATTTTTATTTTTATTTTTTTTTTTTAAAAAAAAAACCCTTTCTATAATTTTAAATGTATACTCTCTTTTTAATTTTCTAATAAGCCAACCAATCCTTGACAAGCTCGAAGGAAAGCCAACTAGCAGCCATGGAGGGGACGACCTTTAGAAGGTTTGCAGAAAGACCCTTGTAAAGACCCCAGAAACCTTCAGTACGGACAATAGTGGAAAGGGCGTTACCGACGCCAGAGTAGTGATATCCAATGCCTGCACTCTTGTCCATTGAGATGACTTGGAAGCGGCGCCGCAGGACGTCGAAGGGATAAGTAAGAGTTTGTGCGACGGCACCTGCAGCTGCACCAGCACCGAGTTTCTCAAGAGCGGAAGGTTCTTTGCCAGCGTTTGTAGATACAAGTAATTCACGAAGCCATTCGTAAACTGCAAAGTTAATACCAACATAGGGGGCCACACCCATTGTTGTAGGGATAATTCCACGATAAAGACCACGCCAGCCTCCTTCAACAGCGTAAATCTGGCGGCCTACAGACATGATGCCTGGTGGTGCGACACCCAGAGCGGCATAATGAGCACGCAAGTTACCGATAGAAGCAGTTTGAATGGAGAGACGGGTACGGATAATGTCGAGGGGATAAGTAACAGCGACGGAAGCGATACCAGCTATAGAGCCAGCTGCAAGACGTTCTGGGGTTGTGAGAGAACGGCCGCCTACATTATCGACAGAGGAAGCGATTTTTGCACGAGGTCCTGAAAGCTCAGTTTGAGAAGAAGAAGTAGTAGTAGTAGTAGTAGTAGTAGTAGTAGTAGAAGAAATATGATGATTATGATGCTGGCTATTGACGACAGGTCTTAAGGTAACGATATAAGACTTGAGGACGGTATAAGTGGAGAACTGGACTGCACTATATGGGAAGATGCGAATACAATTTGTTCCATTACCACGCATAAATCCACGCCAACCTTCTTCAGCCCACATTTTTTTAAGAGTCGGGATGACACCTTGGTATTGTCCGGCGGCACCAGGGCCTTGAATTTGGAAAATAATTTTCATACGTTCAAAGGGAGAAACGACAGTACGGGAAACAGCTCCTGCAACACCACCTGCGAGGAAAGAAGAAACTGTAGGGTAAGAAAGTAGTTGGCGAGTACGATCGACTGATGGGTTTGAGAGAATGGATTGAATGAAAGATGATGAAGATGAAGATGAAGATGAAGATGAAGATGATGAAGGTTTATTGATGTTGTTGATGTTGTTGATGTTGTTGTGATGGGGATGGGAGAGTGGTTGTGGGGTAGAGACGGTACTCGGTGCAAAGACCGGGTCGGCTTGAGATTTTTGTTGTTGTTGCTCGGACATTTTAGAAAGGGAAAAAAAAATTAGCAGAGGAAAAGAATGACATTAAAGAGAAGGAGAATAATGAAGATGAAGATGAAGATGAAGATGAAGATAATGAAGATGAAGAAGATGATGATTTTTATCTAAAAGATGAAGATTCTTTTTTTTTTTTTTTTTTTTTTTATTGAAAAATGAAGATATGAAGATTAATGAAATAAATTAAAAAAAAAAAAAAAAAAAAAAAAAAAAAAAAAAAGTCACAGGAAGATTAAAAAGGGGATTTAAAACGATTTAAAAATAAAAAATAAATAAATAAACGGTCCAAGTAAAGCTCGGCTGGTGATAAAAAAAAAAAAAATTTTTTTTTTCTATATATATATATATATATATGAATAGATAGAGATAAAGATAAATAGAAATGTCAAACGATTGATTAAGTAGTTAAAAAGAGAGAGAAAAAAAAAAAAAACAAGAGAAGGTATTGTTACTATTGATGATAATGAAGATAATTTTTTTTATTTTAAATATTTTAAATATTTTATATTTTTAAATTTTTAAATTTTTTTATAAAAAATTTATATTTTAGTTTTTTTTTATTTCGTTATTGCCATATGGAAATTCTTTCCTCCTCCTTTTCCTTCTCCTCCTCTTCCTCAAAAAAAAAAAAAAAAATCTGATAAATTTTATTTTTTTATTTTTTTTTTTTTTTTTAGGTCGGACATAAATCGGGTGCACGTGACTTTAAAAGATTTTAATTGGCTAAATTTTCATTTCTCCACACAAAATAAAAAAAATTTATTTTTTAATTTTTTAATTTTTAATTGTTTTTTAATTGTTTTTAATTGTTTTTATTTCACTGACATTTTAGAAATACAACAAAATCAAAATTGAATTCAAATAATAAAAATAAATAAAAATAAATAAATAAATAAAAATAAATAAAATAAATAAATAAAAATAAAAATAAATAAATAAAAATAAAAATAAATAAATAAATAAATTTTTTTTTACCTTTTTGTTCTTTGTTTGTTAGTCGTTGTTGCATCTATTAGACTCTAAACGATCATCATCATCATCATCATCATCATCATCATCATAAGAAGTGAAGAATTTATTTTGTTAAATTGCAAAAAAATAAAATAAAATAAAATAAAATAAAATTCTTGTTTTTATTAATTGTGTGTCTAAACAACAATAACACTCATTATAATAATTAATACTACTTTAATTACCATTAATCCTATTAACTACTACAACTCCATAAATAAAAAATAAAAAAAATAAAAAAATAAAAATCTTTCGGGCCAGTCCGGTGCTCCGAGAATTCGGCTAGTTCGGTTGAAAGGGTATGTATGTATGTATGTATGTATATGTGTGTGGGGAGAAAAAAAAAATTTTAAAAAAAAATTTAAAAAAAAATTTAAAAAATAGATTTTTTTTTTTTTTTTTTTTTAAAATTAATTAAATTACTTAAACCATCAAAAGGTTATGTAAGAAATAATCTGCTAAAAGATTTTTAATTTAGAAGAAGAAGAAGGACAAAAGGGAAAATAAAATTGAAACAAAAAAAAAAACCCCCCCCGTTGAAACTTTTATATATATATATAAATTTTTTTTTAAAGTTCACAAAAACTCTATTTATTATATATAAATAGTTAACAGGAAATAAAGAGCCGTTTAGAAGATATTATTATTATTATCTCATATAAATATATATATATATATATATATATATAGTTTAATTAAAAAAAAAAAAAAAAGTTTGAAAGTTTGTGGACCGAGGATGCATTTATGGAATATGAACAAAAAAAAAAAAAAAAAAAAAAAAAAAAGGGGAAAATCAGATTTTATTTTATTATAAATTTATATATATATATATATATATATATTAAATATCAACATCAACAACAATTCTTTTTTATTTACTTTATTATTATCATTTTTTTTTTTTTTTTTGAATACAATTGATTTTTTTTTTAAAATGTAAACATTCCATAATAAGAATAATAATAAATTTATAAAAAAAAAATCTTACAATTTCTTTTTTCAAATCATTTATTCTAATTTTTCTTTTTTTTTTTTTTTAAAAAATAAAAAGGTCACTTAACCGAAAATGTGGCTAACTAGTATTAAGCATTCTCATAAATACAATAATATTATTATTATTATTATTATTATTATTATTATTATTATTATTATTATTATTATTATTATTATTATTATTATTAATAATGCCTTTATTTTATAATTATAAGTAACCACCTTTTAAAACAATTTAAAAATTATTAAAAATTAAATAAAAAAAAACTAATTGTTGTTTGTTTGTTTGTTTGTTTGTTTTTATTCAAGGGTTTAAACTAATTGTTTGTTTGTTTGTTTTTATTCAAGGGTTATAGAATTATATAACATCAGCATCTGCGCTATCCTTCTTGTCCATACTATATATTTTTTCATTTTGATAATAAACTTTTAATTTTGGCTTCAACATTGCATCTCCAACAGCCCGAAAATAAGTCCTGATGCCAGTTTACGAGGAACAGGGGGTTAAAAATAACCAAACCTTCCCAACCTATCTCCACTTGCCTTCATCAACGCTGTAATTGTATTTCTTAATCCCTCCAAGCAGAGATAAAGCTTACAATCTCTTGTAAGCCAGTTAAACTGTTTAAGAGAGTCGACATGTCCATCTCTGGAGATATCCGTTTCAGTCCTTTTCTTTCCTCTTCAAGCAAAGGACACTCAACTAAAATGTGATGAACTGTTTCCAGCTCTCCACATTTGCAGTTGTAACTATCCTTTTCAATTCCAAACTTTTTAAACCATGCGCCAAAGTTGCCATGGCCTTTGCGAAACTGAGTAATATTACTCAAGATCCTTCGACTATCTTTCTTCATGATCACTCCCGTAACCATTTTGGAAAGATTATCAGTACATTTCGACTCCACTGTGATATTATGATACCACAGATCCTTACTGCTGTTCCAATACATTTCTTGCCATTCTTCCATTGCTTGTTTCTTCAAAATTCCAATCGTCTGATTCTGTTGTTGTTTCAGTGTAAGAGGTTCAACCCTCTTGCATTTTCGTTTTTCATCCTTTTTAATCATATAGTCTCTATCATCTTTCGCCAACATGTAAAGCGTGGTTAGCTTTGCAATTGGATATTTCTCAATCAATGTTAACAAATGACCATTAATAGGATTAGTTTTGCTAATATTTAGGTGTAAACGAATAGCTTTTCGTGCCACCATAAATTTTAGCCTAATACTATATGGCATAATACCAGCTTCCTTTTGTAGTACCGCAATAGGAGTTGTGCGATAAGCACCAACAATTCTTCTTAAAGCCATATTCTGCATTACTTCCAACTTGTGGATTTCTCCTTTCAAAATTTTATGATGCCAAATTTCTAAGCCATATTCGACAATTGGTCTCACGCAAGCAATATACAGTGATCTGACTGCAGACCCTCGCATACCTTTTTGCACGCCACCAAGATGCCAAATAGCACCAACAGCTTTTCTTGCTTTATTGATTTTATTCAAAATATGAGATTTAAAATCAAGCAGATTGTTCAAAGTAATTCCAAGCAATTTAACTTCCTTCTGGGGTTCACGAAGTTCTCCATTAGGTAAAGTAAGTTGCACTTTCTCATCTTTAGGTTTCACATTTTTTGTAAAATGAATAAAACCCAATTTATCACCCAAATCAATTTTGGTCATTCTTGATTTAGCCCAATTACAACATTTTTCTAATATGTTGCTTAAGCTTTGGTATTTTCTTCAATTTTACCTTCAACAGTAATAGTCACATCATCAATAAAGCCAAAAGGAGTTCCACCCCATTCTTTAATGGCATGATACATTGGTGTGGAATATATCAAAAAGTAGTGGTGAAATAGGTGAGCCTTGCGGAATTCCAGTACTAATTTTTTGCACTGATCCTTTTCTTCGGTCCATGAGCATACTAGCTTCTCTTTCACTTACAAATTGGTACGTCCAGTTTATAAGTGCTTTGGGTAGTTTCATATCCTCCATTGTGTCTGCCAATATATTTCTGTTAACATTATCAAAAGCTCCTTGAATATCAATGAGCATAGCTGAAATTTTTTCTTTACTAGTTTCAATTCTTTGGACAAGTTCCAAAACAGCATCAGTAGCACAATAACCTTGTCTTCCCCCATATTGCTCTGGTGGAAGTAAGTGTGTTGTAAGCTTGGTCATTCTTTTTTGTATAATTTTTTCCAGTACTTTAGATGGAATCTTAAGTAAGGAAATTGGTCGGTATGCTCTTGGCTTTGAATAGTCAGGTTTCTTAGGTTTAGGTATAACAACAATAATGCCATGTCTCCAGACTTTTGGGTGGTATCCAAACTTTACACAAGCTTGGAGAAGCTTGAAAAACCTTTCCTTAACGTCTTTATTTAGCCATGCCATCTTTAAAACTTTGCCAGTAATTTCATCTTCTTTTGGAGCTTTATCATTTGGGGTATCAGCCAATGCTAAACTAATTGTTTCGGAAACAACAACATGTCAAAGTTTAAATATGTGGGTTATATACGTCCAAAGTTCATAATACCTTAATTACTATTTGAAAGGCGTTAGTGGTTTAGCGGTAAAATTCGTCGTTGCCATCGACGAGCCCCCGGTTCGACTCCGGGCTGACGCATATTACTTTTTTTTTTATTTATTTATTAATTGTTATTAATTTCTTTTATGAAGAAAAAAAATTACTTTAGAATCACCTTGCCAATTGTGCCCTAACAAAAATATTTTTTACCATACAAAATTGACAAAAACAAAAAATTTACTTGAAACCCCAAAATCGACTTTTCTTATTAACCATTTCACAACACGTTATTAAGGAAAACACAAGCCCTTAATTTAAAAATCTTAATTTTTTTAAAATTAGTCAGCCACAACCATACTTTTAATGATAAAATGGTAGTTAATTAGTACTTATATATATACAAATTTGTACCCCAAAGTTCCATCGTTATAAAATTTTTTAAACCACTTTCA